CGGGCGGGACGCTGCGTTGGTGGCATCTCACCCCGCACGCTGCTCCGCCCGCCCCAGGGGACGGTCACCGGGGCCCCCGGGACAGTGGGGCTGGGCCGGGCGTCGGCGTCCTCAACCCGCCCTCTCCCGCGCGCCCGGCCAAAGCCTGCCCTCGGCCCCCGACTCCAGCCCTGCCATCCGGAAGGGATGTGCTCTCTGAGCCCCGCCATCTGGATGTGTGAGGACTGCGGGACCTGCCCGGACCCTGCGTTCGGGGCCTCCCTGCCCAGGCCTACAACCTAGCCCCCCGCGCCCAGCGCTTCCCTGGGACTTCATTGCTCCCAGCCCTGGCCGCGTCTACCCTGTCCTGCCCTCTTGAGATGTTCGGTGATGAAAACAGGGGCCGGGCCTTGAACGTGCCTCGGCGGTACAGCGCTTGCCTGGCATGCGTGAAGCCCTGGTTCAATTCCTCAGTACCACACACACACAAAAAGCCAGAAACGGCGCCGTAGCTCAAGTGGTAGAGTGCTATCGCCTTAGTAAAAGGCCCCGAGTTCAACCCCAAGACTGGCAGAAAAAAAAAGACACACAACCCTCAGGGCATCCTGTGTGAGTCTTTTGTGCACACTCAGAATCTATGCTCTTTGGGTGCACACAAAAGAACTCCTAGTTTTCAGAAGGTGCCCAAGAAGGCTTCCTCCTCTCCCCAGCACAGCCTATTGGGAAGAAAGAACCACCTGGGCTATTCCTTTTTTCTGGATCCAAGTAGAGAAGCTGAGCCCCAGGCCTGACAGTGGGAGAGGGTCTTTGAAGATGGTTGGAAGCCCGCCTGTCCACTGAGGAGTGCTCTACACAGACCTCAGGAATCAAGCTAAGAATGCCCAAACCTTTGCGACCCACACATTGTAAAGGAGACCCCCTTTCCACTTACTCTCCCCAGAGGCAAAAGCTGGAGGAGGAAGGGGAGAATATGAAGACCTAAAACAGTCCTTATCCCTAAATCCAGGATCCTGCCTAAGCCAGAATAGGCAGGTACTAAGAGTTAGAACTGGACTTTTTATTATTATTGTTATTAGAGATGAGTTTCCTACCCAGGCTGACTTTGAACCACCATCCTCAGATCTCAGCCTCCTGAGTAGCTAGGATTACAGGCGTGAACCACCAGTGCCAGGCAAAACTGGACTTTTTATTTGTAGGACAGGGACGTTGACCTTGAGCTTCAGAGGGCATGCTCAGACTCTGTGAGTTGTATCATCTCCTTTGTGGATGTTGTTGATTTTTTTTTTTCTTTTTGCTTATGTGGTGCTGGGGAATCGAACCCAGGGCCTCATGCATGCAAAGGCAAGCGCTCTACCACTGAGCCACCTTCCCAGCCCCGGATGTTGTTGATTTTGAGCTTTGCTAGATGGATCTCAAGGACCCTTGCCTCAAATCATTCACACCCAAAATGGGCGCAGTTACTGTGAGGAACCCAAAGATTTTGTGGAAATGGCAGGTTATGGTTTCCAAGGCTTGATCACTAAATACTGGAGCTTCTACCTTGCCTCCAAGTAAGCTAACTGGCCCCCTCCCCCTGCTGCAGAGCCCATCCTTAGCCCCAGCCAGATTTTAGGATAACTGTAGCCTGGGTGAGATCTTGTGTGACTAGACCTACCTAGTTCCAAATTCTTTTTTTTTTAATTGTGAAAATAAAGTATAGAGCGGTTACAATTACATGGGCATACTTCCAAATTCTTGACTAAAGAAACTACATGTGATAATATTTATTGTAGTGTTGAACCCCATAAGTGTTGGGGGCAATCTGACGTGCAGCAGTGAGTGACTGAGATACAGGACGTGAGAATGTTTTGCCCCAGAATGCTATCCCATTTCCCCCAAAAAAATGAGTGCTGGTGTTTGAGCCTCCTCCACCCTGGCCAGTCCAGAAGGGTCAGGCAAGTTGCTCTCTGTAAAGTTGATGTGATCTCACCCCTAGGCACGTGTGGTCATTTCTCAGCCAAGGACAGTGGGATGGCTGAGGCTGCCCTTCACAAACTTGCATCCCCTACACCTTTCCCGCTACCTCACAGTCCTTCAGCTTAGCAACGATCTTTGTTGTTGTTGATCATGGAGCTTGAACTCAGGGCCTGGGTGCTGTCCCTGCACTTTTTTTTTTTTTTTTTGGGTCCGGTTGTGGGGCTTGAACTCGACCTGGGCGCTGTCCTTCAGCTCTTCAGCTCAAGGCTAGCGCTCTACCACTTGAACCACAGCGCCACTTCTGGCTTTTTTCTTTTTGCTTATGTGGTGCTGAAGAATCGAACCCAGGGCCTCATGCATGCAAAGCAAACACTCAACCACTGAGCCACCTTCCCAGCCCCCCTGCATTTTTTTGCTTGAGACTAGTACTCTACCACTTTGAGCCACATTGCTACTTCTGTTTTCTGTTTTTGTTTTTTTCTGTTGGTTAATTGGAGATAACAGACTTTCCTACTCTGGCTGGGAACTGTAATCCTCAGATCTCAGCCTCCTGAGTCGCTGTGATTACATGCATGAGCCACTGGTGCCTGGCTGGCTTGATTTTTCTGTTTGTTTGGTTTTTGGTACCAGGAACTAGTGCTGGGATTTTTCTTTCAACCCAGGGCCTCATGCATATCATCAGGCAAGCACCCTATGACTGAGCTACATCCCCAACCCTGCCCTTCAGCTCAGTAAGGGCACAGTCTCCTTGTGCTGTGCTTACAAACAGAATGGGGGGGGGTGGCAGGGAGTCAAGACTTAATTCAGGGATAACACCACTCTGGACTTCTTACCAGAAAAAAAGGTAGCTCATTTGTTTTGTCTAAGTTACATTGTTACAGTAGGTCAGAGAGAGAGCGCAGCAACAGCCAGTGGCAGATGCCTCCATATTTGCCATTTAGAGTCTTCAGTGTACAAAAGTATGTGGAAAGTAGATGAACTCTGAATCACCAAATAGTCAAGAACCAGACTTGTTATCTTAGTGCCCATCCCCACCCCCGACCTGGGCTGGTAAGCAAACGCAGGGGCTTGCATATACTAGGCAAGCAGACTTTCAATTTAGCAACCTCTGAACTTTTTTTCTCTTCTTTTTTTTGCAGGTCCTAAAGCTTGAACTCAGGACCTGAGCACTGTCCCTGAGCATCTTTTGCACAGGATTAGTGCCTCTACCTTTTCAGCTACAGCTCCATTTCCAGCTTCTTGGTGGTTTATTGGAGATAAGAGTCTTTTTTTTTGGGGGGGGTCCAGTTGTGGGGCCTGAACTCTGGGCCTGGGCGCTGTCCCTCAGCTCTTCAGCTCAAGGCTAGCGCTCTACCACTTGAGCCACAGCCCCACTTCTGGTTTTTTCTTTTTGCTTATGTGGTGCTGAGGAATCAAACCCAGGGCCTCATGCATGCAAGGCAAGTGCTCTCTACCACTGAGCTACCTTCCCAGCCCTGGAGATGAAAGTCTTGTAAGCTGGGCAGTGGTGGCTCATACCTGTAATCCTAGCTACTCAGAAGGCTGAGATGTGAGGATCTCGGTTCAAAGCCAGCCTGGGCGGGAAAGTCTGTGAAACTCTCATCTCCAATAAACCACTCAGAAAACCAGAAGTGGCGCTGTGGCTCAAGCGGTAGAGCACTCACCTTCAGCTGAAGAGCTGAGGGACAGCACCCAAGCCCAGAGTTCAAGACCCACAACCACCAAAAAAAAACAAAAACAAAAAAAATTTGTAGACTTTCCTGCCTGGGCCGGCTTTGAACTGCAACCCTCAGATCTCATCCTCCAGAGTAGCTAGGATTACAG